TGCTAGATTAAAAACATCAGCAAAACTAAGCAGTTTAGGATTGGTTTCTTGATATAAACCTTTTTCTAGTCCTAAGTTTATGAAAATTTCTGTCCTTTAAAAATGCTTTTTTGGTCACTGGTCCTCATTAAAGTGGTCCTTCACCTTTGGTTTTATTACTATAAAAGTGAGAAATTATAATATGCTCTAAGTTACAAGCTTTGACTGTACTTCATGCATGTCACAATTTGAAATGTAGGGTATTGATTCAACTTGGTCTTAATTCTGTTTGTATGTTTTGTGTCCATCATTAGACAAAGTTAAAGGATTTACAATCTCAGGTGGGGAAATACTGTATCATATTAAGTAGAATTTTATATTATTGTTACCATTTTACCCTAATTGTCCTCTTAAAAGTAATAAAGTTAAACTTTAGGAGCACTCATCTTACGAAAGTATATAATGTGATTAAAAATAGTATTTGACATTAGGTCTTTAATCAGAAGCCTGACCTATTAATTTTTTGTATTCCCTGTATGCAAATTAAGATGATCATTTTAGCTTTATCATATATTTTAGGGGGGTACCCTACAACAAAGATGAAAACTGCTCATGCCATGTATAATGTACATGTCTTCCTAACCTCTCTGCTTCCTGGACAGTGCTCTCTCCTTCTCTACCTACTTGGTTATAGTGGGAACGACCTTTTTTGTGCAACATAACATGCGACCCAACACACAGATTTCCCTTGTAGCAGAACAGGGACAGAGTTCCTGCAGGATTCTAAAAGTATAACTGAAATGAGGCCCCAATCTAACTAGGAACTAAGAATGTTAGATGTAGCTTGCCCATCAATAACAAGGTTTCCTACCATGCATATTAAAGCAGCAGAAAAAGTCGGCCTGCAGAGAGGATGATAAAGAAGATTGGTGTGAGGAGAGGGTATATCCCTGAAGAGTTCATGTAATATGTAAATTTAATTATATTTAAATTTTTTAAGAGTGGATAATTCTAAGCTAGCCTATGATTCTGTTATCTGAAACTTTCCCATTATCTGTAAATAGATTTAATTTGAATTGTAGTCCCCTGCAAGTGAGTTCTTACTAATCCCTGCAGTGAACTACCCCTACCTCAAAGAGTAATCTGCCTATCTAATTATGTTACTGAAATTCAGCAGGCATTTGCCTGTCCCACCTCAACTCTACCACTCACCTCTATCTCTTCCTCAAGGCAAAATAAGGAAGTCCATGACTTTAATGGCTATAAATATCTTATTTTTTAAAATTAGGGTATGATTCACAAAAAGTTACATTCTCCCTTTTTAGTATACAATTCTGTGATAAATAATATTTCCATCAGCCCCCAAAATTCTCCCATGTCATTTTGTAATCCTTTTCCTATCCCCAGTGTAAAATGAATTAATCAGTATGTAGCCTTGAGTCTGGCTTCTTTCACATAATATAATATTTTTATTATTTGCCCATATTGTTGCTATATATCAAGAGCTTATTCCTTTCTATTGCTGAGTAATATTCCATGCATGGATGTACTATGGATCATTATTCATTCCCTAGTAGAGGGATATTTAGGAAATTTCTAGTTTTTAGCACTTACAAAATCTGTGTAACTATTTAAGTATAGTTTTTAGTGTCCGAGGCAGGTTTTCATTTCACTTGGGTAAATCCGTAGGAATAGAATTGTTGAATAGTATAGGGTTTCTTGTTTGTTTGTTTTTGACTTTGGTATTTAAATTTTAGCTATTTTAATAGAGTTAGTGGTGTCTCATTGTGGTTTTAACTTACATTCCCCTAAGAGCTAATGGTGTGTTGTTCAGCATTTTTCCATGTCTATTTGTCACCATTTCTTTTTTTTTTTTTTTTGAACTGTTTTTTTTTTTAAGATTTATTTTTTTTATTTATTTATTTATGCATACAAGAACTAGGGTATAGGCCAGAGGTGTGAGGGGTGAGAGGATTCACCAGAGACAGAGTGGGGAGCAGAACAGGCAGATCTACTGAAATATACTGCTGAGGAGAGCAGCAGGCGAGGCATGAGAGGTCTGCTGTACCATGTGGATTGGCTCCCTGGCCCAGGATTGAACTCATACCACAGTGCCTGGCCATAGCTTGGTAGCACTGAGACTTAACCCCTGTGCCACCAGGGAGACCCCCTGTTGGCCACCATTTCTTTTGTGAAGTGGCTGTTCAGATTTTTGCCCTCTTTTTTTTATTTTGTAAGTATTCTGTATACAAGTCATGGCTATAGTTTTAAAGTGGGTATTTTCTTTTTTAATCCCTGCTCTTTTGCACTCTCATTTGCCTTTTTTCACTTAATATCTGTGAAGGATGTTCATTTTCTTACTTGATTCCAATTATACTTCCATATCTAATATTCATTCAGCAGATAGTTTTTGAGCATCCATGGCAGGACTGACTTTTTTTATCAACTACATAAGTGCTGCTTCAGAATTATTGGATAATTGCAGGCCTTTTTTTTTTTTTTTAAATCATTTCTAGATGTTGCTTCACTATCATCCAAAATGTTTGTAGTGTTTTATCCTTTTTTTCTGGGTACCAGCGTTTGAGATCTGGTACTGCTAGGGTTGCAAAAGATAGGTATTGAAATAGTTAATTTTTTACTCCGTTAAAGATTTGATGGATATTTTCAAAGGTTACACATAATGTAGAGATAATCATTCATTATCTTGTACCTGTCTAATTTTCTCTAATCTTTCTACTCTGATCCTTTCCTCTGGGGAAGCTGTCCCTAGTAGCAGAAATTGTTTTTGTTATCCACAGGGGTGTTCTTTTGCCTTTGTACACATTTGCTAATGAACTAGAAGAATGTTTTCTTCTGTGTAAAAGTTGGATAGAGTTCTGTGGTGTTTCATTTCTATTGCTCACTAGAATGTCATATGGAAATGTTCTTGTGACATTTTACTGGGAAGTATGAAAAACACGCTTTTATGACATTTTCAAGAGGATTGCTATTCGTCATTATTATTGTGGGGCCTAGAAAGACTTGAACAAAACAGATGAGTTTTTTCATTTTCATAAAATTCATTTATATTTACATACATTCTTTAACATATGTACAAATAAAATTCAGGTAATATGACCTTTGTTACTATTTTCACTATTTAATTTGTGACAAAGGAGTCAAGAGTATGCTATAGGGAAAGCATGATCTATTCAGTAAATGGTGTCAGGAAAACTGGACAGCACATGGGAAAGAATGCTATTGAATCACACTGTCTTATACCATACATGGAAATTAACTAAAAATAGATTAAAGACTTATGTGCAAACCTAAAACCTAAAACTTCTAGAAGAAATCACTCCTTGAATTCAATCTTAGCAACTATTTTTTTGGATTTGGCAATGAAAACAATCAACAAAAGCAAAAATAAACAGCTGGGCTATATCGAACTAAAAGGCTTTTGCACAACAAAGGAAACCCGCAAAATGAAAAGACAACCAAAAGAATGGGAGAAAATATCTTCAAATCATATATCTGATAAGAGATTGATATCCAGAATATATAAAGAGTTTATAGAATGCAAGAACAAAAAGAGGAAAAAAAAACCAATCTGATTAGAAAAAAATGTGCAGAAAATCTGAATACTTTCCCCAAAAAAGACACACAGATAGCAATGGCTAATTAAAAAGTTGCCCAGCATCACTAGTCATCAAGAAAATACAAATCAAAACCACAAAGAGCTTATCATCTCACACAAGGCCATTGTTGAAAAGAAAAGAAATAACAAATATCCATGAGGATTTGGATAAAAGTGAACACTTGTGCACTGTTAACAAGTTGATGCAACCACTATGGCAAATAGTATGGAGATTCCTCAAAAAATTAAAAGTGAACTTCAGTGTGATGGATCAATTTCAGTTCTTGGTATTTATTCAGAGAAAATGGAAACCCTAACTCAAAAAGATATATACACCTGTATGTTCATTGCAGAGTTATTTACAGTAGCCACATACAGAAACAGTGTCCATTAAAGGATGAATGAGTAAAAAATTTCATTATGTGTGCATGCATACGTACATACAATGGAATATTATTCAGCCATAAGTAAAAAGGAGACATTGAAGAGTTTAAGGGAAGAGAATGGCATGGTAAATTTGAATTTCTAGTCAGCTCACTCTATAGAGCTAAGGATGCTTTGAAGTGGAGGGTATCATTAATAGTTTAGATGAGAGTAGAAGGTCAGTATCAGAGTTTATAGTGATTGGGAATAGAATGTCATTTTTGTCCTTATTTTTCATATAATAAATTCTGATTCATTGAGAGCTTCCATTGCAGGAGAACCAGCTTGGCATAGGTTGTAGGGTGTGTGAGAGTGGAAGTCTTACAGGAGGACTCTAAGAAGCCCTATCCAGCTAGTTCTTCTAGCTGAGGCTACTATGACTGTATGATCCTTTCTGTCTGACTAGTTTAGCTGTGGTTTCTGTGATCACCTAAGTCCAAATGTATACGAATAGAAAACTCATTCATTTTTTTTCTTTGCATCAAGGTACATAGAAAATGGATAAAGTGAGGGAGAAAATTACCAAGAAGTGTTTCCTTGAAAAAAGGAATTTGATTCCCACTTACATTTATTAAAATCTTTATATTCTTCATCTTTTCTCTCATTTATGAAATTTTAAATATGTTGATCATTTTCTTCTTGAATAAAGCTTAAAGGTGAAAAAATGTAAAGAATTCAGTCTTGTCCTGTTTACTACTATAGTCTTCTGTGCCATTACATTTATTATTGCGAAATAGACTTTGAATTTTTCAAATTTCCCACAGTGCAAATCTTGTGGAAAGAAACTACATTTATTTTGTAGACTATGTTTGAAGGCACAGATTATTAAAGATATTTAAAAAGAATAATGTTTTTGCATGTTATAAAAAACAGTGGTGTTTCTGTTTGTGTGTACATTATTTATAAACAGCTTTTGAGTATAATGCCGTATAGTTTACCTATTTAAAGTGTACAATGTAATGGTTGGTTGTTTCTTTGACAGGGAAAAAAAGATGTGACCCAGATATTTAATAACATCCTGAGAAGACAGATAGGCACTCGGAGTCCTACTGTGGAGTACATTAGTGCTCACCCGCATATCCTATTTATGCTCCTCAAAGGGTAGGTACATGGTTTTCTTTAAAGTAGTTGTGAGTTTAGAATAGTTGTTAAAAGTTTATAGCATAGGTCTCATTTGAGATACAGTTGGTTCTTTTTGAATCACAATAAATGTATTTGCCATGCTTTAGGACAGTCCTTCAAGTATATATCTCCATATCTTAGACCATACTGAAATCTTTTCTTATATCATTTGACTTCTAAAGTTCTTCCATTTACTAACTCTCTTTCCTCCACTTTCCTATTATCTGTCCCTTTCTATGACACTATTGTTACGCTTCCCAATTTGTCCTTTCCCTAACTGCTCAATTACCCTTTTACTGTTTTCATTAACCCAAACTCCCTCATTACATACATAGCACACACTCATACTATTTTATCCCCAGCATGTGGAATGGTGCCAGGTATATCATAAATATTCAGTAGATATTGAATAAGTAATGTCTGAATGAACTGTGATAGTATCTATGCTCCTGTTAACAGCATTTTTATATCACTATTTTGTCAATCGGATAACAGAATTCTCCATTTCTCTCATTTATGCATTAGATATGAAGCCCCACAGATTGCCTTACGTTGTGGGATTATGCTGAGGGAATGTATTCGACATGAACCACTTGCCAAAATCATCCTCTTTTCTAATGAATTCAGAGATTTCTTTAAGTATGTGGAGTTGTTAACATTTGATATTGCTTCAGATGCCTTTGCTACTTTTAAGGTAATTTTTTTTTTCTGAATCACCTAAGTCATTTAGTTCAGGCATTTAGTTATAAAGTCAGTTGTCTTCTAAAGAGGTAATTTTTAATTTTAAAAGTACAAAACTCTATTCCTTAGACCTGAGTGTAGCCCATTGTGCATTATGTGAATTACAGGAGGCATCAGTAAATAGAATATAATCTATTAGGCCAGTCTGTCATATGGTGAAAAAAGCAATTCAGAATACTTGTCATAAGGTTATACAAAATGAATTCCAATATATAAGTGAAAAGGGGAACGCATAGTTCTCTGAGTATTACCTGCTTTCATTTATGTTAAAAGCAAAGAGTATTAGCTGCCATTTAAGGTGCATATACACTCAATATCTTGGAAGTATGTCTGGGAAACAGTAACAGTGTTTGCCTCCAGGGAGAGGAGCTGGGGTGTAAAGGAGAAGGAGAATTACATTTTTGGATATGAAGAACATCACCCTGTTTTTTTAAATCAGTGTGGAAATTTTAAATTCCCACATGATGAAATAAATACAAATAAATTGTTTATTCATAATCATCCATATTTTTATAAACTTATTTACTTTGCTATTATGTAGGAAATAATTTATTTTTTAGAATATTACTTGTGGTAAAATACAAATCACAAAACTTACCATCCATTTTTTAGTATACAATTCAATCATATTAAATGCATTCATATTGTTGTACAACCAATTTCCAGAACTTTTTCATCTCAGAAATCTAAAATTTTTATCATTATACCCACTAAATAACAACTCTCTGTTTCCTCCTCCTCCTAGCCTAAGCAGCCAGGTTCTACTTTCTGTTTCTATGAGTTTGACTTCTCTTTAAAGAGAAGTTCAGAGGGCATATATTAAAACATAATATAGCTAATTTGCAAAATAAAATGCTAGAACTTGTACATCTAATAAGTAATGTTATCTTTAAGGTTTCTATAATAAAAACCTTTTACTTAAGGATCCTGCCATTATTTTCATATACTTTGAAATTGGTATCAGTTATCTGTGGCATGTTCATTTGTCAATAATGGCAAATTTTTATCCTTCCAAGGCAGATAAAAAGTTTTAGAAACAGCAAAAGCTATTTGACATCCAGGTTAGTGAATAAAGTGGGTCATCGAGCTAGCTAGAACTGTTTTTGTTTTTTGTAATAACAGTAATAATAATAATAGAAAGGAATTTTAAAATGACTAAATAAAGTCCTGTTTCCTCACTGTCTTTCCAGTTTGCTGTGAAAATTATTTTAAGAGACTAATTGCAGAAATATTTTAAGATGATGATCTAACAGCATTACTGAAAACATAGGCTTTCTAGTTGATTATAAAACAGGCAAGACTTATTTAAGTGCGTAAATTTAGATTCACTTATTTTAAAAAATGAGCCAATTTACTTGTTCTTTTACATAATTCCAAATTTATTTATACTTTTTTCCAGAATATAGTAAATAATTTGCACCTTTGTTGCAATCCATGTATGACTTTTTATCTTTTATGTATTTCCTTAAATATGTATTTCAACAATATGGTTATAGTTTATATCATAATATTAAGATATACTTTAAACCATTTGAAAGTTGCCTATGATCTGGGTAATGAATAGTTCTTTATAGCTCTCTAAAGGTGAAGAAAGACGAGAGTAAGTAGTTTGCTGTGCTGTGTATATTAGCTATACACAGGGAATATATTCAGTCTGTTCTGAGATTTAATCTGTTGTTAGTAGCTCACATGATGGCCAGAGTGTGAAAGAGTAGCAGGGAGCAGAAAGGACCAGAGATTAGAGTGGAGCACAAGAAGATGGGGAGACCTCCAGAGAAGAAGAAAATCTGGCAGCAAGAAAGGGATATAGTGGTATCCAAGTGAAGGCTTAGACTACAGGCGGGGCAGTGAAGGGGACTTGATGTGACCAACAAAAGTGAACACTGGTGGGGCCTCCCCGGTGGCGCAGCGGATGAGCGCTGGGTTGCGAAGCTGCCCACAGCCTCTGCAGCACCAGTTCAATCCCTGGCTGCTCCCCGGCCACCGGAGGAGGGTCCCACATGGAGCACAGACCTCTCCTGCCGCCCGCTGCTCCCCTCAGCAGTGTACTTCGGTCCTTCTGCCTGCTCTGCTCCCCGCTCTGGCTCTGGTGAATTCTCTCACCCTCCCGCGCTTCTGACTGTACCCAGGGCTTGTATAAATAAATAAAAATAAATCTTTAAAAAAAAAAAAAAAAGTGAACACTGGTGAATTGACGCCACCCTGAGCATGACTTGGTTTGGCTAGCATGACTTGGACAAGGGAACTGAGATATCTCTGTAAAGATAATGAAATGAAATGAGGAATATTGAATTGACAAGAACTCCCATCAGGGAGGATCCTATTTGAGGAAGACACTTGGTACCTATGGCACTTTTATTTTAACAAATGGGGTTTGCAGTTTTGGGGCCACAGCCTTAATTGCCTGAGACAATAGAGAAAGAGAGCCGCAATGTCATCATTCCCCAAAGCCTCAGCTGAGCCTGAGATAAATACAGAACCAACCTACAATCTTGGTTTGAAGGGAAGGTGGTCACCAGTCTGCTCAGGTTTTCCACAGATGTCCATTCTGTCCTTCCTACTCCCTGGACTCTCCCTGAGAAAACAGGGAGAAATTCTGGGATAGAGATAAAATGGCAAGGGAAAGCAAGAAGGGGCATTTAGAGTATGGAGAAGACAAAGACATGGAGTAAGGAAGGTAAAAACTAAAACAACAAAGAGCAAAGAGAGATGGAGGACTAAGGGAGAAAAGGGCTAGATTGAGATTCTAAAGAGACTTCACTGGTAGGTGGAGGGAAAGGAATCAAAGTCAGCAAGTATGAACAAGTAATGAGTACTTTGAAATCTAGAGCCTTTTCCATTTCCCAGACCACTCTCCCACTTGACAAAAAAAAAAATTGCGCAGTGACTGCAGATAAACCCCTCAAAGGAATACATCTAGAGCATAAGATGAAAGAGGCCTTGGTACATCAAATATGAATAATGACATTTAACACAAAGGGTGATTCCATTTCTTTCTAGTAGAATGCCTATGCCTAAATAACAGATGTTTTCTATTAAAGAGTCTCTGGTCCCATTTTTTTTTTTTTTTAAGATTTATTTGTTTATGCCTACAAGAGCTGGGTTATAGGCCAGAGATGCAGGGGTGAGAGGATTCACCAGAGACAGAGCGGGGAACAGAATGGGCAAACCGACCAAAATACACTGCTGAGGGGAGCAGCGGGCGAGACCGGAGAGGTCTGCCATGCCACATGGGTAGCTCCCTGGCTGGCCAGGGATTGCACCCGTGCTGCAGAGGCTGCGGATTGCTTCACAGTGCGGTGCTTAACCCTTTGTGCCACCAAGGAGGCCCCTTCTATATGCTTTTAGGAAGCTTTAATTAAATATGTATTAAGGTATAAGAATTTATTTTGGAAAACTTGTTAAAATTCTTGTTATGTTTTTTAATTAAATTCTGCATGGCACCTAACACAGCGTATTTAGCCTGTAAGCATATAAAAGGGATTAAGGGAGGCTTGTTTGCTTTCAACATTAAGGCGTATTAAGGATATAATTTAAGTAGGAGTTGAAGACAGTCAAATGTTCCTTTATGCATTTGTTCCTTTTTCTGAGTTTATGTCTATGTTAAGATAGAGCTACTTGTCTTCAACTTTGAAAGGGTGCACTGTGCTACTTAGTAACTACACAACACCTCACAGCCCTAACCCAAGAGTAGGACAGTACTGAGACAGCACTGTTAAATACCACTTTTGTGCTTCCCCAGTTTCAAGGTACCTCCCTTTTAAAGGTGGTTAAGAGAGAACACCAGAAGTTAAAATCCTTGGAAAACTTGTGCAATATCGTTTTAGGCTATTCAGAATTCTTTTTTAAAAGTGATTAGTTACTAATGGCATTTTTAAAAGGTCATCATAAACTTTTCTTGACTTTTTATTATATCATAAGCATAGCTAGAGTTATTTGTGGCTTGAAGAAATATATTGTAAATTTGTCTCTTAGGTGCCATTTATTTCATTAAATTATTTCTATCATAAATCTAACAGTGATAAATTTTAAATACTCTGTTAACAGTAAACAAATGTGTGTCTTAAATTATTTTGTGGAAATGATTTTGTGATGTAAATAAAAATATTGTGAAACATTTATGCTTCAAATTAATGGCCTTATAAAACCTTTGAAGGAAAAGACAGATTTGTAAATATTTATTTCAATAATAATTTTGTTTTGCTTGGCTGTTCTTTTCTAGGATTTACTAACCAGACATAAAGTGTTGGTAGCAGACTTCTTAGAACAAAATTATGACACAGTAAGTAGAAGTCATTTTTTTTAAGACTTTATCTCATTTTTTTCTTCCTCTCTTTCTTCCCCTTAGATGTATGAGCAGTCAAAACCAGTCATATCCAACCATACACCCAATTTCTTTATTGCCTGGAAGTCAGGTCACCAGGAAACTCTATGGAAAATTGAGGATGACAGGAGATCAGGTCTTTTTCTTTTTTCACATCTCTTCCTATGTACTCTGGAGCTCCAGGAAACAAACTGGCATCTGCTCACTTTGATCTTGAACTGAGAGCATCTATATTCCTTTAATAGGTATCAGGTAACCTGAAATGGAAGAGCACTCTACTTGTGAGATAAATTTTACATGAATTCTGTGTATAAGCAGAAATACAAAACACTTCTATCTTCCAACTCCTTTCTCTAATTGTGAATCCAACTCATCTTTTTGGGATTCAACTGAAATGTCTGTATCTTCCTTACTGGCTCCTGAGAAGACTACATAAATAGATTTCTTTTAAGTGAGTTATATTACAGTCCTCTTAATTGATAATAAATGTTTTATTCAAAATGATTTATTGGGGAGACTCAATTACTCCATTTGTTACTCAATTTCCCATTTCAGAACTAAAATAATAGAGAAAAGTGTGTCTCTTACTGGATATATCATTTAACCTTACTATCACCAGGGGTATTTATGTGTAATAACCATGGAGAAATGGGCAAACCTTCCTTTGTAGAGAAATTGCAGAGAAATTGCTGCTGATTTTAAACTCTAATAATTCTTTTTATTAGATTTTTGAAGACTATGAGAAATTGCTTCAGTCTGAAAATTATGTGACTAAGAGACAATCTTTAAAGGTAATATAAAATTTCTCGAAGTTACAGTCTCCAAATGTTGATAACTTGTTAGTAAATGATTAGTTTATTAGTAAACAAATACAAACAACCTGAAATACCTTTTTTGGTAATTTGAAGATATGTTTTATGTTTTGACTGTACTTTGTTGCAAAATAAATGCCTTTTGGAAGTAAGTGGTAAATTTTAATTACATGATTAGTGCATACTGAGGATGGGCAGATGAGAGTTGTGTATGTGTCTGTGTAAGAAAATCGCATTTGCAATGAGATTATATTTCTTATGAAACACCATGAAAGTGCTGCTCTCCATTAGACAGGGAGCTTGGCAGAGTAGGGCCATATTCATCTGTGAGTGGTTCCCTCCGTCAGTGAAAAAGTGCCTTGGGGCTATCATTTGGCCAGGAGGAGGTGGCTTAGCTCCAAAAGAGTGAAATGTTTGCTAGAGCTGCATTTCTGCCCTTCACCTCCCACTCAGCTATTTAAAAGAATGTCTTTGGCAAATAAGAATTCGGTATTTTTATTAAGCAGTTTGCATAATTTTTGTTAAATGTCACTCTTGTATTATTTTTACATATGTTGGCATGATGCCATTCATAATACAATGTATTTGTTTCTAAATATTGAATACAAGAGTTCGAATATATGGACAACATGGCAATCAATGATTGAAAAAGCTATCTTCTTTTTAATAAACTTTGCAGATTAAAGTTATAAAAATATATTGACTATAGTTTTGTGGCACCTTTTTTTTAAGTCAATTAACTCTACCCATGATTTTGCCTTAACCATGACCTATTTTCTCCTGTATTTATACCCTCACTGCTCCAACTTTACCCATTGATGGAGAGAAGTCAATCTACTATTTTCAGTCAGTCATTCAGCACTCTTTATAGAGTTTCCCATTGTGTGGAAACTCATACAAGGTGATCCATGTAGAAAAAAGTACCACAGGTACACTGCTGTCTGTGCTGGAGCCTGGAGAGATAAGACCAAACTGGCCAAAGGCATGGCATCAGTGCCGTGCTCTCCCACATCCAGAAAGCTTGTTAAAAGCAGTTGAAGATAAAGATACAGCCTATAACCACAGTTTTATACTTCAAGAATAGAATTCTTTATTTGCTATCGCTGCATAAAGATAGCAAAAATGGGGTGAGCTTGGCTTGTTTATGTTATGGAGAGAATCACCTGGGAGAGAATTGGAAATTAGAATAGTAGTGAGGTAATAATGCTCTGAAGGGCCAACATGTAGGAAATCATTTGTAAATTTCTCAGTCTTTCCTTTTCAGTGGGAATCTGTCAGATACTGGACCAAGTAGAGAAGCTGATATAAACTAAGGTTACTGAACAAAATCAGAATAACAAAGCTGAGGGTTATAGACTTTAGAATTTGTCCTTGTACTATTTTCAGCAGTGACAAGGGGAAGTGAGGATTCATTTCTCACCAGATTCTGCTGCCAACTGACTCTACCCCCTTTCCACGCGGTTCTCCAACTATAAACCTCTGTCTAGAGACATAGGCAAGAGTAACTGAGTTTGTATCAGGTATTGGAACTCTCCTTTGTACTCTCCCTTTTCAAACATTGTGTTTCCTATACACTTATCAATGCCACATCCGCTGCAAAGGCTTCTTTTCTGTTCCTTATAAATGCACCTAAACATGCAACATTGGCTGTCTAAAATCCTTTATAGTTGATTTAATTTACAATATGGTAAAACTGAGCACTGATTGGCCAGTAAAAAAAAAAAAAACAACAACAAAAAACCTGATAAAAAGCAGATAAAGTGTATCTATAGATGCAGGAATTAATAAATAATGAAGAGGTTTTTTTAATGTTAGATTATAGAAATTGCTAAATGGTTTTATATAATCCATTTGAGGAAAAAGCTCAATTGTTTGCATTTTTCTTCAATAGAAAACATTGTTTTAGAAAACTGCTGGTATGCTATTGGTTTTTCTGTTTGAGAAATTATGCTTAACAGTCTTTTCAGTTAGATTTATGCTTAACAGTCTTCTGTTTTGACAATACCATGTTTATATTTCTAGTTTCTGTAATATTTGGTAGATAGGTGTTTAATAATTTTAGGAAATGAAAGGTTAGATAACTGCACTCAGTTACAGTGTTCTATAAGTAATAAAGTCTAAAAATTATGCAATTTTCTTATGCCAAAGTAGCTGCTACCTGTCATCTTTTTAAATCATACTCTAAATGTGCCTGAACTATCTTTAGGTGTTTATATTCCCAGAGTCAGTAAAATATAATTAACAGAGAAATTCCTTTCCCTTGTGTGACAGAGCTTAAGAATTTATTTCTTATCTTTCTGAGAGGTCTGGCATTTAATTACTTGCAGGAAAGATTATAGTTCAAAAGAAACTTGGTGGAATTTAGGAGAGAAGTATTTTGGGCTCTCTGGATCAATTTTATTCAAATACCAATTTAAAAAAACTGCCTTTCTATTTCAGGTGCATAAATTTTCTATGTACTATGAGACATGTACCATAAAATTTAAAGAGATAAAAAATGCAAATTGTTTCCATTTACTACAGCATTGCTTTATAATGTTTTGTGTTACAATGTAATGCAGAACTTTATCATTGTCAATATACCTAAAAATAGATTATCATTTCATAGCTAAAAGATTCAGTGTAGTTAGCCAAATGAGTTAACCGAATTGACTGTTTCAGAAAAGTAGTAAAATTATATTAGCAGAAGATAGATTGGATAGAATTTTCATGTAGGTATTCCCATGTAGTAAAAATGGAAGTGACTTAATCTGAATTTATACATGTCAGTTCAACAGCTGTATTGAATGTGTGTGTGCACGTACAGTATTTAAGTATAATTTTTTAATGAAAGTTGTTGCCAAATATTTTGTATGTCTATATATGATATGTATGTATATATTTCATTATATTTTTTCATATAGACATGTATTTAGAAACTATATCAAACCTTTATAAAAGCTATATATATTTATGCATATGTGTTTATCTATAACTATATCTATATATCTTGATAGGCCTCTTGTCAAAGTTATAACCCAGAAATATTTTTATTTTATTTTACTTTATTTTTGGAGAGTCTGGAAGCCATCCCACTGAAATGAAAATATCTAGAAAGTTAGCACTCTTATCTCTGTGTCACTAGGGTAGTTTAACTTCAGTGCTTCTCTTCAAGGTGTAACCATTTCTTGTCAGAATGATAGGAGAAATTTTACTATTGTCTTTATTAATTGAGTAAAGGCACTTAGCTAAAATAAGTATCAATGGCTACCTCAATTGTTAGCTATTTGCCAATTGAATTTGGGGGGAACTACAAAAAGGGTACATAGCAAATAGTGCAGTCAAATCTTCTCACAAGGTGCAGGTTACCTTTCATCTTGAGAATATATGTGTATATAATGGAATTGTAGCTGTTTGCCTGTAAAAAAAAAATGTAGAATTGTGTTTGTTGTTGTAATGTCTTTTTTGCAGATTACATAGTATGTTGTGCTCTAGATATGCTTTGCTTATTCAATAATAAAATGCATTTGTTCACATTACGTGGAGAGGACTTAATTTCCCCAACAGTATTCACACATATCACACTGGCTGTAATGTTAACAAGCACTAGTATGTTTGATCGATGCCCTAGTGGAACTGACATACTAAATAGACTCACAAATAACTATATACAAGGTACAGTGTGTGTAACTGGGTGGGGGGAGAGGATAGGGGGAGTCAAAGAGCACAGAGAAGAGAGAGGAAATTTGAACTCAAAAAACAAAAGGTAGATTGGTAGTTATTTGGGGTCTGGGAGGTAAGGAAAATGGGAAATGTATACTATACTGTATTATATAGTGGAAATTTGCTGAGAGTAGATCTTAAGCACTCTCATCAACACACACACACACACAGAGAATACATGAGGTGATGAATGTGTTAATTAACTGTGCTGAATATTTCAGAATGTATACATAAATCAGCGCAATATACACTTTGTCAGTTATACCTCAGTAAAGGTGGGGAGAGAAGCTAAGAGGGAGAAGAATGAAAAAAACTAAGTGAGGGGACTCAGTATAGGAAGCAGGTGAAATTACTGTAGATTGCAGAGGGCTTTGAAGCCCATCCTAATGAGATTAATTTTTCCCCGAAATCACTATGAATTTAGGGGTTTGTTTATTCATTCACATTATAGGTGGAGTTAGTAGCATGAATACGTCTGATATTCAGGGAGATTCATTTGACATGTTCAGGATAGGTTGGATTGATTGAAGACTAGAATGAAGATCATTTTGCATGCTGTTGCAGTAGTCTAGTTGAAAGTAAGGGTTTGAATAAGGATACTGTAAAAATGGAATAATTTTCATTTTAAAAACAGAAAACTGGAAGATCTGGAATGTAGGGGCTTTTTTGGTATTATTTTTTATTGAGGTAAAGTTGTTGTATGACACAGTATAAATATTTAGGTGGGGTACAGGTTCACACCCTCTTCAAATGTATGGTAAACAGTATCCCCCCACCAAAGCACCCATAATTCTCCATCATAGACCATTGTACCCCCTCCATTCTTTGCTCCCCACCCCCTCTAGTAGCCTCAATGCTATGTAATTCAATTTCTAGGATTTGTTTGGTTTTAGTTTTGTCTGTTATTTTATTTCTTTATATTCCACATGTGAGATCATCCAGTATTTCTCTTTTTTCTGACTTATTTTGCTTAGTATAATCCCCTCCAGCTATATCCATGTTATCAAAAAGACACACAAGAGTTCCTCTTTTCTTTATAGCTGAATACTATTCCATTGTGTATATATGCCCTATTTTTTTAAAAGATTTATTGTTTATGCATACAAGAACTGGGGTACAGGCCAGAGGTGTGGTGGGTGAGAGGATTCACCAGGGACAAAGTGGGATACAGAATAGACAGATGTACTGAAATACATTGCTGAGGGAAACAGTGGGTGAGTCAGGAGAGGTCTGCTGCGCCATGTGGGTATCTCCCTGGCCAGGGATAGAACTTGCGC